CTACTCCTCTTAGCCGCTATTCTAGGGTCCCCCTGTTGCCAAGGGTTACCCGCAATTATGCGAAGTTTGCGGCCCGGGGATGAAGGGCGGCCGGGGAGCCAAAAACTAAACATTGTTTCGAATAAGAAACTCCGGAATTTTCTGGTGACCGGCTGTATTAAAAGGAGTTTTTACGAAACAAGCCCCCAAACAATTTTCCAAGGAAATAGCCCACGAGCTGCCCTCATTCGGTTTAGTCAATTGTTTCGCGTACCCGCATTAGTCCGCGGCCCCCTGGCAAAACCTGGAAAGCTTAGACCCTCAAGCTTTCCAGCTATGGAGGATACGCGAAAACCCCGAAATTGTTTGGGCGGGGGCGGGGGGCCCCTGGATACTGAAGCAGGTACAACATTACTTTTACACTACAAAACTGATGGCCTGATGAAACATAAGATATGTTGTGGGGGGTATAGGAAACAAGCCCACACCTGCGGCACGTTGGTTGGGAACGTCTTCCCCCACAGCAAGGCCGACTTACACCTACCACTACTAGAAAGTAGAGGTTGAACACCAAAAGTTGTCGAGAAACTCATACTCTTGGAGGAACCTCCAACCGCTGATTGAGCTGTGCCAAGAAAGTTTCAAAAGCCGCGAAGCCTCAGCTGAAGTGAGGCTGCTCAGGCTCTGACTCTTCGAGGGACAGCAGCGCAGGCTCGCCCCGCATGGTGACTCTTGCACGTAAGGCAGGCCAGTTCACCAGGGTTCGCTGGCGGTCACTGTATGGCCGGCTAAGGTTGTAAATTTCTGTCAACACGGGTGCTTGATGCAAGTATTGGCGCATGTGATGTGCAGCAACGTTCAACTTAGCCTGTGTGATTTGCTTGCTGTCTTGGGCTCAGCTCTTGCGGGTTTACGGAGTGACAGCCAAACAACCCTTGGCAGACTACAAGGCGCGTCTTCCTGCCACCTCAAACAGAGACGGCTGTTGTAGTCCTCAGAGGTGCTGAACTCTTTTTTCGACAGCTCTGCTCAGAAGCTGAAGATTGCAAGCGATGCAGGAGGCAGCCTTCGTCTCGATGCAGGTCGCTTGCACTGAAGATTGCTGGCTGGGGCCACTTTGTTGGATGAGACATTGCCATCCGAAATCAGATCTCAAGTCCGAGAGGAATACAGCTGCAAGAGATTGCCTGTGTTTCGGCATGGCAGGCGAGCTGCCCCAAATCGTCAATAGAAATGCGCATCCTTAACCGGGCCGGGCTAGTTTGCACAACTGCCAGTTTGACTGCACACACGCCAAAAACAGGATCCTCCCTTTGGACGTTCCCCCTTATACTCACAGTCCTTTTTAGGGATTACAATAAGGGCCGTGGTACTATATTCCCTTTTAAGGACTTTTAACTGTTAGTAGAAGGGGGAACATGCCACTTCCTCCCTGCCGAAACACCTTGAGAGCCTCTGCAAACAGGTTGCGCCGGATCTGCAGAGGCTAACAAGCTCCGACAAGACTGCTTCCCCCGAGTTATCCATCACTTTCCGACAGGCGATCGTGCAACAATATATACTTTTGGTAATATTAATTAGAATATATGCTTAAATGAGCACAATATAACATTAAGCATAACGAGCAGATCCCCTCGAGTTCCCAACATCTGATCAAATGTGTGTCTGTGTGTCTGTGTGTTTCTTTCGCATTGGCAACTGTGTTGCAAGCAGGGAGCTGTTGCAGTTGCTGCTGTGGCTGTCCTATTGGCATAGTAAGAGTGCGACTGGCGGTATTCTTCGGACTGCACTGATTACTATGGCACCTAACACGTCTAACACCTGATGATTACACGCCTCAGCGGAAGGAAGCGAGCCTCAAGTCTCCTGCAAGCTACAAGCGGCAGATGCCAGCCTTCATACAATCAGCACATACTGATTTTTACAGGATCCCGGATGTGCCCCAAAAAAGTTGCTCTGCAAGTTTGGTCCGAGTTTGGGACATCCCAGGAGCCCCTACCCTACAACCAATAGCTGCAGGAGGTTCAGCGCTCACATCGGCTACCAAGACGGTATGGGTAAGGGCCAGGCCTGGCAGGGTAGGGGTGGGTCCCGCGCTGACCCTCCAAGCCTCTTTGGGCTAAGTTGGTGCAGTATGAGGTCGTGCTCAGTGTCATTGTCGGTTCATTGGCTCTCGACAACCGCTCCCACTTGGCAACAGTCACTTGAAGAACCGTGCCAACGCTGCGAATGAAAACGATCCACAAGCTTCAACAACAAATTATGCAACATATGCCTCCCTCGACTGGGGTTCTTCAGAACTGAGTAAGTCTCAAGAAGCGGTTGTCTCAATCCCTCTGCCGAAACATCAGGACGATCAATACAGCCTGGCCATTCATGTCGTCATGCATGAATCAGTCTCTCCACGAACGGCACTACCAAGATACAAAACAAGAACCACAGTACAGCTGGGCTGATGGGCCAGTTCACAAGTTAAGAATCTGTAGCTGCCGCATACTGGCCCAAAACATCCCAAAACCCTCTGGTCGAAAGTCCACTTAAAGTGAAGAGTCAGCTTGCCCTGCTTCCGGGTCCTCGTGCTTAGTGCCCAGCTATGCAGCAGTGGCAGGTTCGTTAAGTAGGGGTAAACTTGTCTTGCGTCTCTCTTCCGCATGTGCTTCTTGGGGGTCCCAAAGCTGTTCAGGGTCCTGCATGTGTCGACAGATCACGGCCTCAGCAGGACTCCCTGACGTAGCCAAGAATTCGCAAAGATGTGCTACTGCCCGACCCACCAAAAAGGGTGCCACCCCATTCTCACACATCCCCCAAGTGTGCAGAACCCTAAACCCTAAACCCTAAACCCTAAACCCTTGTGAGTCATGGCAGTGTCTTGCCTTGGGCTGCGACTCAGGGTCTCAAGTGCCCGCACCCGCGGGGCCTTTCAAGCACTTTCAAGGAAAGGTTCACTGGGTTTGGGGGTCATTGGGTTTTGAATTTTTCGGGTTTAGGACGGCATCTAGAGCTCTCAAAGAGCCCAGTGGATCTCCCCTGCCTAGCATGCAGAGATGTCGCAAACTGCTTGCTTCGCACAAATGGCAAGGCTCCGGCGTTGGGAGAGAAGGCACCGGGAGATCGAGTTTGATACCTGCACCCGATATCGTCGAGCTGGCAACTGGAGGGTGTCGCAGGGCAAACAGCAACGACACTTTGACAAGCCTGCGACGCATCCTTTTCGTCTCAGAAGTTGACTACTTAAGCTACATGCCTGTCACAGGATGGGCCAACTGCCCTGGAATGTGGACCGGCATGGTCGAAATACATACAAGATCATGATATCAGCTTTCAGTTCGGCGAACTTCCACATTTTGGGGAGCTGAGCCGAGCCAGACTGAACAGTGGGAAGACTTGTACTCTTCGCCAGGTCACGTCCCAAATCAGTTTGGCAGAAGTGAGTGCACTTTTTACTGATCAGGTGCCTCCTTGACAGGATGCTTCGACTAGCCAGACTCGAGTTGAGCCTGCTCACGCTGTTTCCACACTCTCGTCTTTCAAACGATTGCCGAGAATGCGATAAGTGGCCTTGCCACCCTACTACGGAATGCATATGAATCTATGATGATTCAGCACCTCACTTCTAGGCCTTCTTCTCCGCCTGCTCCAGGGCCTCGATGCCCTCGATGAGGTGCTGCATGGCCTCCTCGGCCGTGTCAGCGAAGCGGAGCTGCTGCGCGTCCCAGTCGGAGATCATGCCGTAGTGGACGAAAGCGTCCCACTGGATGCAGTCCTTCCAGAACTTCTTGCCGATGAGCACAATCGGCAGCTGGCGCTTGATCTTGCCCGTCTGCATCAGGGTCAGCAGCTCAAAGAGCTCGTCGCACGTCCCGAAGCCTCCGGGGGCAACCACCAAACCCATGCATTTGAAGGCCATCCAGAACTTGCGTGTGAAGAAGTAGTGGAACTCGAAACCCAGTTCCGGCGTGACCCAAGGGTTCAGGCCATCTTCAAAAGGAACTGAGATGCCCAGGCCGATCGACTTGCCCTTGGCCATCGCGGCGCCCTCGTTGGCCGCTGCCATCATTCCAGGGCCGCCACCCGTGCCCACGTGGTATTCGGGCAGACCCTGCTTGCTACGCTTCATGCTCCACTCGCTAAGCAATCGGCAAGTTTCCCTAACCACGTCGAACATGCCAACCAGAAACTCCTGCTTCTTTAGCCTCACAAGGGCAGCTTGGATCTTCGCGTCATCTGGATTGGCTTTAGCCTTGGCCTCGGCTTCCTTCACCGCCGCCTCGTACTGCTCCTTGGGCTTCGCTCGCGCGGAGCCGAAGAACATGACGATGTTGTCCACGGAGTTTGCGTTTAGCCTCTCCTTCGGTTCCTCAAGCTCGCACATGATGCGGATCAGGCGGGCCTCCGTGGAATTCAAGAAGTCGTTGTTCTTGTACGCCTTGGGGGGCTTCGGGCCACCCTCATCGGCGCCTGCCACCTCGTCGTGGCTGCGCTTGGCCATGGCCGCTCCCTCTCTGAAAAGCAGGAGGATTCCCGTTAGAGGATGCTGCTGCGTGGATCATGTCAGATATTGCCAGAGAGGAAAGCAGCAATCAAACCCGTCGCACTCGCTCAGACATGTCTCCCGCAGCATGCTCCTGATCTACCGTTCCCAACATCATTTGCAAAGAAGGACACGGAGAGAACACACGGCAGTGCCTCACGACGCGCAAGCCCGAGTGTATGTACCTATCACGTGCTTCGGTCAAGCTTGATTTCATTCATGAAAGTATCTCCGCCCCAAGCTATGAGGCTCGGACGCCGTATCCTTTGGCATCGTTGCAGGGACGACAGAGAAGTCACCGAAGACGTGCACCCCTTGTGGACACCACTTCAAACAGCTACAACCAAGTGCATCTTACATCACGAATCATCTGACCCGAAACCCTAAACCCTAATCCCTAAACCCTAAACCCTGTATTCCTAAACCCCAAACCCTCATCCCTAAACCCTAAACCCTAAACCCTAAACCCTAAAGCCCTGCTTCTTGCCCTTTAGCCGCATTCTAAGGCCCCCGGCGTCTCTCCCGCTCCAGTCGTGAGCTCGGGATGGCCGACTTTGCTGGATCCCTGGCAGCTTTGAGTATGACATGAACACGAATATATACTAATATGTTCATATTCATAAACGAATATGTTCATATTCATAAACTAATATGTTCATATTCTTAAACTAATATGTTCCTATTCACAAACTAGTACGATAATATTCATATACTAGTATGTTCATATTCATATACTAATATTATTCATATTCATATATTAATATCATCATATTCCTATACTAATATGTTCATATGTATAGTAGCATGTTCATATTGATATATTGAGGCTTGCAGGGTGCGCGCTTGTCTCCAGGGCGATCAGGGAGGGCATTGTCAAACCCAGCCGTGCGTGAACGCAAAAGGAGAAGTTGAAGCGAGGAGAGGCCGACTGCTGGATGTGCTCTCTCACCTGGTCAACAGGAGTCCTGACGCCTACACATTCTACGTAAGAACTCCCACTTCTCAAGCTGCCCATCTTCGTGCCTCATCGGAGTTGCAATGATGCCGGCTTCGCACCTGCCAAAGTTGGCGTGTCTCCGATCTGGACCGAAGCTGTCGGGACTCATGGCTGTTGAAGGCAGCTCGGCCTTCTTGGTGGAGTGGCTTTTGCGCAGACCACTGTTCTCAATGTCCACCAACTCATCACCCACCAGATATTTCTCAGGGCAAGATGAGCACTACGCAAGGCAAGGTCGCAAGACCGTGCTCACGACTATGCAATCGCATATTGAAGGCTCTGGACTGGAATAAAAGTACATATTAACAAATGGTCTATACTCATATACTGCTCTACATTTCAGGGGAGCACCGGGACAGAGCCCCATGGTCGCAGAGTCGCAGGCAAATTGGGCGCGAGTTCCTGTCCTCTGCTCCACCGGTGCGCGGCGAAAGCTCCGGTTGCACGGCCGCGGCCTGAGTTCGAGGTGTTGGTCGCGAAAACGCGGATTCAACATGATTCAACTGCTCGCGTGCGATGCCAATCCCGAAAGACATAGGGCACGAACCGACATGCCAAGTCAAGTGAAGTGACTCACAAAGACGGTTTGAACCCGACTCGAAGACTCAAGACGCGGCTCACACCCTTGGCTCAAAATCCTGAGTGGGGAGCCATCTCACCGCTGGTTCTATGCTGAACCGATACTGTCGCGGATGCTTTTCCTGGACCAAGGCCCGGAATGCGCGGAGACTTGAAGTCCACGAGACATTGAGAAGCCCATGAGGCCACATCTGTTGGCTGTGGCCTGCTGGGCTCAGGGTGTCGGCCAAAGCTGCATCAGCCAGCCTTCCGAAATGCGTCTTCTTCTTCTTCTTCTTCTACACATCCGATCACCGGAAAGTCACCGGAGCAACACGCCTGCGTGGGCTGAGGGCACGCAGCTCCTCCACGGCTTGGCTTCGCACAAGTCAAGGTTTCTTCGGGGCCCAATGCAGGCAGAACAACGGTGTAACGGTTGAAGAGTGCTCCTCCACGTGCTTGACCACCTGGTGCGGAGAATCTACCCAAACAACGCATGCCGGAACGAGTTTTTCAAGAAGCTCACCGCGAAAATGCCAAAAAATGAATTGCTCATTTTGGGGGCCACTTGTGGATTCACTTCTGGGAACTTTGTTTGTCACGTGTGGCTTCTTTTCCCTCCGTCTTCCCCCAAGACTTCACGCAAAAATCACTCAGGGCTTTTGGATGTCCTCACATGGCTTCTAAAGGTTGTGACCCTCACGGTCTCGTTTCCGGGAGTCCTCGTAGGGCTTAGGGCTTAGGGTTTGCCAAAAGCCCACCTGGCAGACTGGACCATTAAACCACTCCCCACGCTGCACTGGCACAATGAGGTACACTGAGTTTGCATGCATCTACGGATCTAAAAAAGCCTCCCAGCCTGGGGATTGTCCGAGAACTGATGTTTGCGGTTCGTCGGAGGTGGCTCTGGCACCCTGACAGACACCCAAGACGCCCCTTTTCTGATGAGAGGAAACTGCTGCATGCTAGAAGCTGCCTTCCTTTCTCATCTGGCCTCTACAAGACGCTTAAGCACTCTAAGCCCTCAAGCGCCTGTGTGCTTCGAAACGCATCAAGTGCTTGGCAATCTCTGGGTCCTGAGCAAAGAGCGACGTGCCTTCATGCCGAATTGATTCAGCGATTATTGTTTTTTTACACTTTTATACTGCCCTATGAATATTCGTGCACGAGTATATTTAGGCATTATTATGCTATGACACTTTATGATGATTCTATCAATGCAACCAGGCCTTGTTCAAGCCTGTTCTCTTTCCGCGGGAGATCTGGAAGTTCTCGCCTCGGAGAAGCATGGGATGTCGCACAGCTTAGGGCTTAGGGTTTAGGGTTTAGGGTTTAGGGTGTAGGGTGCAGGGTGTAGGGTGTAGGGTTTAGGGTTTAGGGTTTCGGGTGTAGGGTGTAGGGTTTAGGGTTTAGGGTTTAGGGTTTAGGGTTTAGGGTTTAGGGTTTATAAAGGGCTCAAACAGCGGACTGCACATGGGGGGTTTACGAGAATGAGGGACCCCTAATCTTGACACGCAAAAGTTAGGATCCCCTTGCAATAAGGACCCCAATAAGGTACCCCTAGAATCGTAAGCCCCCACATCATACCCCAAGCCCTAAACCCTAAACCCCAAACCCTAAAATCATGCCGGGGTCCGGTCTGTTTGCAATTGCCGACAGAGTGGGCTTGGCATCCTTCACACGTCGCTGAATGTTTATCCGCAATGTGTTGGATCCGGCATTCAATGTCGACGCGGTTCCGAAACCCAACAACCCAGCAGACCAAGTACCTGTCCTCACCGTTCATTCTCAACCTCGGGGTTGGCAAAGCTTGCACATACAAGAAACTTTGCAAGAAACTTTGCAACGAACAAGGTCGTAAAATGTTGCATGGTTTTATGCAAAATTCCCTGCACCAAATAACCAATAGGCTGCGGCATCTAAAACATGGTCGAACCAGAGAAGCAAAGACAATCACAAACTGGGCTTGTTGGCCTGTGACAGCTTGTGGCCCTTCGAAGGGACTCCAAGCAAACTTGCACAGAACTGGTAGAACTGGGGCATGGACCAATTCTCGGAGTTGCGAGTGATCTTCCCTTGGCACTTGGCACCATGAGCACCATGAAACAAGAAAACTGTGCTGCGGCGGCTGCTGCTGCTGCTGAAATCTGCTCTGGACACACTTTCGCTGAAAGGATGGCTAAGCAGTCAAGTAGCAGGCTTGCACTATCGATATCTGCAAACATCATGATACCACGTCCGCTGCTCCCTACAAGTACATGAGCAAAAGCACCACACGAGACGAAACCAGAAGCGGGACCGCCAACCTGCCACACCGAACTCCAGGGACGACCAGAAGTGTTCTGAGCACACTGCCACTATGCATTCGTCGCACAGCTGAGCTGAAGTTCGACGACCTTTGCGACACGAGGCAGCCCGACAGCGTCTACTCCGAACCGTTGGGACGCAACTTGCAAGAGACCAACTAGACCGAACGTATGATTTGCGCTTTCCTGACAACCCTGAAGATGTAGCTTCGGCGGAAGCCTTGGAGAGGAGATGATAGATTCTCTGATCCGCTGATCTCTGCGGATGGCTTGAAGCTGGCTGGGCGTTCGCACGGCATCGCGCGGTCAACTTTTACAGCCACCGGGCTGGGATCTCGAGGACGCGAATACCTGGCACCAGGCTCTGAAACGAGTGTACTCGGAGCAGTTATATTCTCGACTTGCCGCGATCTTTTTACCTGCAACCACCTCGCGCACACAACATGATTCTCATGCTATCATATTGATATATATATGAATATGTATATATATATATATACATATATATATATACATGTAATGAAGTAATGAAATATAAGTAATTTATCCATATGGAGGTTGACGAACATAGGGGCTTTTTGGGGCGTCCCTTTAAGTGGATTCCGTTCTATTTTGAGGTACAGGGACATCCCAATTTTGGGCAATGCCCATATATTAACCCCAAACCCTAAACCCTAAACCCTGAACCCTGAACCCTAAACCCTAGACCCTAGACCCTAAACCCTCTTGGTAAGGTGTCATGCTGCGGGGGCTCACGCCATCCAGTCCTCCGACATGTTCCAGTTCGGACTCTGGGCCCTGGCCATGTCCAAGTCTGCTTTTGTAGCTTCTTGAATTTAGGGTTTAGGGTTTAGGGTTTCGGGTTTAGGGATTACGGTTCAGGGTTTAGTTTAGGGCTTAGGAAACTGAAGAGCTGACATTATGATGACTTCGAATCTTCGTACCTACGTTGTTGCCGCTACTACTTCCAAGGAAGACGATGTCAGGCTCCGCAAGCCTCGCTGCACTCGGGCTTCGACAGTCTCGATCCTGTCGTGCGCAGCATCGCCATGTTTCAAGGCAAGCAGACCAACATGCCATCAACCTTATGGGATCTTCCCCCCTTGTACTACAAGTAACAGCCCTTAGTAGGGATTCTAGTGCTCCCTACTGTAATCCCTCTGAAGGACTCTTGGGTACAAGGATGGAGCATCCCCCCAAAATCAACCCCAAGTCTCGGTCCTCACCCAGAGTGTCTCGTGGGCTGACATTCCGAACCTCCCGCCCTCGAGGGCTCACGTCCAGACGAGGACTGAGCTGTCGCGCACTGATGCGGGCCGGTACACCTTCGGACCTGCTGCACACACCGTGGCCCACAACACCAGGCGGCACCCGCGCCTTTCCCAGCAACAGACCCTCCAGCCTTCCACGGCTGAAGCTGCCGCGAGGTGCACTGAAATCAGCCTCCCCTTTGCCCTTAGTCACTCGGAACTCGCATTGGATGAAGATCTTTTCATGTTTGCAACGTCTTACGGAAATATTTCACTTCCTCTGGCTTGCCCCGCCTTGCTGAGATTCCTCGGTGTGCGAGGGCTGAGCCAGAAGGACCTCCAAACGGGCCGCAGGGAGTGAAGTGTGCCAGGGCTGGCTGAGCTTAGCTGCAATGAAGACATATGGCATGTGTGTACAATGTAGATATACTCGCACGGCCAACCCCTCAAGACCCCCTCTCCCAAAATCAAACTGTCATGTTCACGGTGGGGGACGAGCGAAAGTCTTCTTAAAACCCACCTACAGTAAGACCTGACAGTACCCTGAACCCTACCTCAAAACGCACACCCTACAAACAGACCCTTTACACCCACCTAAAACCCTGCAAGGTTTAGGGTTTAGGGCAGAGTGGGTTGTAATCCTGCGTGAGGTAGTGGAAGCATGCCAGAGAGGCTCATCCGCACGGTCGAAGAGGTTCGCCGGCTTGTCCTTGCATGGCCAATACGAAGCAACCAGGGCAGTGCGGAAGAGCAGAAGAGAGCGCTAGTTGCACTAGACGCCCTAAACCATAGACCCCTACACCAGGTAAAGGCTCGTCGCGCGAATGCCGTGAAAGTGCTTGCACATGTTACGCTGTGCCCTGGAACGGGCGAAGAAACGCATGCCGAGGGCCAGACCCTTGGCCGCTCTGACCTGCATGGAGGGTAGATTTTAGAAATAAAGGTAATATAAATAAAATACAATATGAACACAAGAAAGAACAACAAAAGGTATAATGGCACATCGCTGGGCAAAGGGTTTAGGATGGGAGGGGGAGGGGAGGGGGGGGGGTCCATTTGGTTCGCGGCCGTGTGGCCTCATGCATTTAATCTGTGTTGCAGGCTTTGGAGTCATGTGTGCCTTCTGCTGCTCCTTCTCGGCCCCATGGAGGAAACAAGGCAGCTTTAACCACCCAGAAGAAATCCTAATGCGTAGTTAGGGTGCCTATTTTGTGGCTCCCCTGACTCTACTACCTTCTGGATACAGAAACACTGCCCTTTATGGTGGGAAATGCCCATTTGGGGGTTTCCGAAATGAGGGGGTACCTTCTTGGGGTCCTTATTACAAAGGAAATCCTGCTATTTGGGGGTCTATACTAGGGGTCCCTGATTTTCGTAAACCCCCTAAACCCGAAACCCTAAACCCTAAACCCCAAACAACCCTACGGTCCCTTGTTTGATCTGGGTGTATGTTCGTCCCAGGGTCCCCCACATGCTCCGCCGGGGCGAGCGAGGCGACAGGGATCGCGGTGAGCGGGTTCCCCAGAAGCCTGGACACACGTGGGGGATTTCGGGTTTAGGGTTTAGGGTTTAGGTTTTAGGGTTTAGGGTTTAGGGTTTCGGGTTTAGGGTTTAGGGTTTAGGGTTTAGGGTTTTTAGTTTAGGGGGGTTTCCGAAAATATGTGGTACACTTTTTCCTTATTATAAGGGGATCCTACTATTTGGGGGTCTACATTAGGGGTCCCGTACTTTCTTAAACTCCCACCTTGGAATAAGCTTGTGCACTTGAGGCTTCAGAGGCCAGGATCAGATCCAAGAGCTCCTAAGCCCTTAGGGTTTAGGGTTTAGGGTTTAGGGTTTAGGGTTTAGGGTTTAGGGTTGAGGGTTCAGGGTTTAGGGTTTAGGGTTTAGGGTTTAGGGTTTAGGGTTTAGTAGAGTTGGACTTGTGCATCGTGACCATCTGCCATGCAACAGATAGAAAGTGACATGTAGGAAATAGCCTAAACGGCAACACTTGCCTTCACAGTCTGAATGTGCCACAGGGCATGGACCGAAATACCTTTTGACTAGTGACCAGTGAGATGCACCGTCTGGCTTGCGGTCGTACCGTACGCTCCTGGCTGCCCGCCCTTGAACAGAGGTTGGGGCTGGGGGTAAGGTTCCACATGCGCCTGGCAATGAAAATAAAACCCTCAACCCAACGCGCTGGTGTGCAAGGCCCCGCAAGCAGGGCCTACCCCAGGTTGTCTAACTGTTGACCATCAGCAGAGCACTAGCGAAACTCGACACAGTCCAAGAAAACCTGCGACACCCCCGCACCTCTTTCGGCTCTTTGGGCTCGAGGTGATACATTCCGAGGAGTCGCGTTCGGCGTCCTGATTCTGCGCTCCAATTGCTGCCGGACTCTCAACGCTTTACTGGTTGTCATCCAGGGTAACACCATTGGCCACACACTGCTGCTGTCTTGCTGACTACCCTAGACCCTAGACCCTAAACCCTAAACCCTAGACCCTAAACCCTAAACCCTAAACCGTAAACCCTAAACCCTAAACCCTAAGCCAGGTAGGCTAGCTCCAGGAAGGCTGCATGGATAAGTCCCGATCGGATTCCCCGGGCCTTGGCCGTGGAGCTGCGCTCTCATGGCGAAACCAATCCTTCAGGGGGGTTTAGGGTTCAGGGTTCAGGGTTTAGGGTTTAGGGTTGAGGGTTGAGAGTTGAGGGTTGAGGGTTTTGGGCTTTGGGTTTAGGAGGCGTGCGTTTGGGCGTGTTGTTTCGTCATGGTTTCTGCGGACCTGCATCTTCTCAAGAGTCATACCGAACACCATAGCCCTGATCATCCCAGCTTAGCCATGCAGCAGATGCTGATGCTTCGTGGTGCTCTTGTTTTCCTGCTCATATGCCTGCTGAACACAGTCACAAGAAGCTGCGGGACTTTCTCCCACACTCCCAAACGAGGAATCTCGCAGGAAGGAGGTTTGCAAGTACCTGAATCTGCTATTTTCTTGGTTTCACTGCATCTTTTCGCCACTGTCCTTTTCTCAGGGCATGGTGTTCTTTTCCGTTTTTGTTTATCGAGCCCTGCATTGCTTTCCATTGCTTTCTCGACTGGCATGACTCATCAGACTGCGATGACATGTTTCCCGAGAACGTCCTGTGACTCACGAAATGTGTCGGTGGCAAAGGCGGTGGGGACGACACCGGTGCTATACCTGAGGCAGCTTGGGGTGTGTCTTCCCTTTCGTTGCGAGCACCCTGTCAGGAATGAAACACCATCCACAACCAAGTCGTTATTCTGAAAACATGGTAGCCTGGCTTGTGTTGGTTCTTGGCTTACTGTCAATTTACTTAAGCTGCACGGTTGTGTTAGCAAACCTGCTCCCCCCAGCAAGCTTGGCTTAAACAGTTACTCCCCGTCGAAGTGCATTGATCCGAGCGCAGACATGCTCTGACTCCGCAAGCATTGAAACAGGCCACGGCTGACTTCCATGGCACCATGTCAGACAACAGAACGAAATGCACGCGCGAACTGGAGACGCCTAAAGAGCCCACCTTCTCGGGACCGTGTTCTCCAGCTTTGGGGACGTGTGTGTCACGAAGCCGCCACGCCGAAAGTCAACTCCCGATTTGTCCAGGTGCTGCCAGAGTCCTCCAAGCAAGGAGCGACCCTCTGGTCTGTGCTGAGCCGCAGACATTCTCAGCTACAGGCAACAGAGGGGTCGGAAAAATTACTAACACTATCCCCTTATGGTCCCTTTATAGTTACTTCAAAGTACCCCCCAAAACCCTATTCTCATTATTAAGGCCCCAAAGGTAGAGCCCGCTCGACATGTCGAAAGCACCCGGCTCCTCGGCCATGCGCATGGCCGATACGAGAGCCGCGGCCTTCCGGAAACAGCGGTCACAGGAACATACGGAAGTGACTACAGCTGGTCCTAAGCATGACTGCGTAGAACATGTGCAACGATGCAGAGAACGAGACAGCCTTCAATCGCGCACCAAGTGCACGAAATTGGCCGAAGTGGCCAAGAGAATCTTATGCTGACTGATGAACGATCCCCTCTTAAACTCGCACCTGACTCTCTGGGGCCCCGGCAGATCTTGTCCATCTCAAAAACAGCTCTCACGGATTGGGAAGGAAGCGACACTGGCTAGCCTTCTCAGAAAGTGCCGAGCTGTTATATGACTGTCCAATGTTGAGTGCATGCTACATGTACCACATTCATTCTGTAGGACTTCCCAGGTCCGAAAACGGCGAAGCAGACAGTGCTCCAACGCGGTTCCGTGCCGGATGGACTTGGTTCTCTCAGCTGGTCGCTCGTCACTTGCCATCTTGGACACGACATCAAATTTCAACAAGCAGTCCGGGTCGCCCTGGAAACACCTCTTGGAGGGTTTCAAGTGGACAAAAGCCGCTGCTCTCGCGTCTCCGCCATTTGGGGTACAGAAGGTGCAAGTTCCAAAAGGCTACAGATGTCATGGGACACGCTTACAGAGACACGCAGCTTCAGGGGTGATGCAAACCTCTTTCAGAGCCCCCCCCAAATCTCACACCGGCCTACGCCTACGAAGCCTCAGCCGGGGCTGTCAGTGCCAATGGCCTGCCACAACTCTTGGAAACTCTGCCGGGATGATACGGAGGGTCCCGCATCTGACTGAGCTGTTGCTGTGGCTACCTGCACCTGCATGTATTGATTGTATTGCTGAGACAGCAGCACATTGCATCACCATAGTAAGAACCGTAAATGAACCATTGCTGCTTCACAGGGGCAGATTGTTGAATCCCTTCTCTCCCTTAAACACGCTCTTCCAAAATCGCATCGCTTGAGAGTACAGGGAGGGCATGGGCATCCCAGCCGGCAAGCTGCTCGTGCTTCTCGCTCCCATACCATCTGCAGTGACCTGAAACATGCCAGCTTGAAAGACTCAAATGCCCTCGCGCCCGTGGAACCCTGAACTTAAACCCGCAGCAAAGACTGTCCAATGTCGTCGAGGTCGAAACCTCTCGACGCCGCCGACGGCCTTCACGAACGGCCTGAACCTGAGGAGAGCTTCAGAATTTGGGCTAGACTCGGCTAGACTCGGCTAGACGTCTTCCTGCTGTCTAGCACTTCGCAGAATGAGAAAAACACACGATATTGTGCTTCTTCGCCACCTGCCTACATCTACGAGTCAGGAGCGCTCTCAGCATCGTGCAGCATGAATGCGTTGGTGGTGAACATCCTGACGCTTGGCCAAGATGATCATCTCCTCGCGCTTTCTCTCCTGGCCAATAAGGGTTCACAATGGCCGCGACACAACTACGAACTGCTGACCGTACAATCTGGGGGATGTTGCACAGACATTACTTTCAGTGGGTGCTTCAGCTCAAAGCGATCCACGAAGGACTGCCTTGTCCCTGGCACGGTACCGCTCCACCATGTCTGCCTGTGCCAGCTCCTGTCAGGAACGTCCCGGTAGATGAAACTGAAGATCTGCAACATGCAATCTCATCGAACTGGCGCAGGAAACATCTCCTCCTATTCCGTCACGACTGCAACAGATTCTCCTGATATCTACCGTCGTTCATGCATCCCCAGAAACACTTGGCGACCTGCTCGATGACGAACAGCTTTCTTCTGTGAGCATCAACCTCTGCAGTAAGCGGCACTGTGACAAAGTGCTGTGATGGCCATGAAGTCACGGTCGGAGCTTGTTGGGAAGTCAGAATATCCCTGCGGGGAGACGCGCCGATGCCTTCTGGTATGGGTGCTGGGGAGCGTAGAGATGGGTGGAGATGAATGTATGGATTAATGGGTCTTGGCTACCGCGTCTAGTAAGGGTCTTCAAGAACGCCGAGGTATCGACGTCTACTGGCTTGCCGTCGTCATCCAGAAAGCCAGCATTTTGCATCGTATGCCTGCCAACCCAAGTCAAGTTCACTCCTTTGTGGACCATCTGGTCATTTATTCCTGCCGGAGGGTATCAAGCAGAGGTTCGAAAAAACCCTCTCCAGCCTTGCTAGTAAACAGTACCGCACGATACTTCCCACCAGCACCCTGAGGGTGGTGGAAGTCCACCAAGAAAACTAACCAAAAAGTATGTTGGTATTTGTTGCTGTCTCTCTTGAGAGTCACACTGCCCTCCCCTCCCAACTACTTCCTGCAAATGGGAGCAGCAAATGGCAGCAAGCTCTGAAAAAGTCGAGAATGCTAGAAATAATGGCCTGATCCGAGGGTTCACCCAAAGATGCCTTCAGCTTGCAGGAAAAAATCACCAAAGGGGCGTGCAGACATGACTCCAATCGGCTGAGGCAGACGCTGCAAGTGCACGTCGAACATGGGCTTATACCTCAATGACTCAAGGTTGCGTTGAGGCACCAACCTCACCCCACATTGAAAAGACGCCAGCACTGATTGCACGCGTTTTGCGCCCGTTTGCCAGGCGCCAGGCTCCGGCAGTGGCACCTTGCAAGCCGACGAATGGAAGTCCAGCTCCCGTGCACGCAGGTTCTTCCTGGCTGTTCCGTGAACTGATACTTAACATGCATGGATCAGGACAGACGCACAGTGCCAGCAAGGTCCTCTTGGCAGGCTCCCGAAGGCCTGCAGCAGACAAAGCAGCACATCCGACAACCAAAAAACGGCTGTTAGCAAGAGAATGAGGCCTGGAATCATTCCGTTCGTTTCAAGAGCCATGTGGAGAAGACCTGCCAGGAACTGCCCAATCTTGCTGCTCAAGCTTGCTATCCAATTTGCTCTCCACGTTTGAAGCTGAGTTCGTTCAAAGAACGACCGAATAATCTGAACACCACAAGCGCAAGAGACTCGCCGCCAGAGACCTCTCAGCCTTTTCTAGGGGATAGGATTAGGGGGACCCTTGGGGCTATAGACCCTCTCAGTAAGTTCCCTGTTCAAGAGAGCCAGAAGAGGGTTCAGAAGGGTTCCCTTTTAAGGGTCCCCCTTATCCTACCTAGGATTTTCGGCTCTCTCCGTTTTCTCTCTCAGCTCGCTTTCTCGCTCGCTCCCCGAGGCTGCGGGCTGCGACGGCGGCGTGCTGCGCGCTGGGCGCGCGAGGGTGCGGAAAGAAGTGTGAAACGATCTGGGTGGCTCCCCTATGCTCCCCTTCTGTGAGCTGCGTCCCGATGCTGCTAGGCTCCTGATGCGCTCTAAGCCGGCGGCATGTGTAAGGCCTTTTTGTGGGGCACGATCGCACGTTCTCTTCAAGACCAAATGGAAGAAAGATGTCAACTGGGCGCACGAACAGAGAGGCTGAAAGTGGCAGCAGACATGGATGGAAGGTCTTGCAACTTGCGTTTGCCACACTTGGCCCTCATCGACATGAACCTGAGGCAAAATTGATGCAGGCTCCTTGCAGCGGTTTCGATATCGAGCTGCATGGGATGGCGTTCTGCATTGCAATCGCAACGGTCCGCGCACATATGCTCTGATATGCTCTGTCAGAAAGGCCACTGACCACGCAAACGACAACACAGTGCTGCTACTACTTCTAACTAGCTGACTCGCTGGCTGACAGACTTACTGACACTACACAAAGCCTGCACAGACACTGCCTTTCTGCACTCAATCCCTGAACATGATACAAGCCCTTCCTGTGGAGGGCTGGGATGCTGTGGCACACGCTGCCACCACTTCACTGGCGTCTTCTGCACGAACTGCGAAGGGCTTGGACAACTGCGGGACCTTGGCCTATGAACGATCTCTGCATTCTCTCATTGCCAATTTCCGACTTTCTTCACTCGGGTCATCAGAGCACCTGGCATGCCGCAAACGTTGGGTGCTTGGGTCTTGACATGTAATTATTGATGTCCACAGCTCTCAAACATGACATGCCGGTGGGGCAATGCGCCAGCACGGGAACAGTGAGAGCTGCGCCGCAGAATAGTGCACAATGCTCGCCACGCTCTCCGCCCAACATCTTGGCAGTGCAAAGACCTCGCGCGGACACGTGTTATAGTACCGGCCACTTCACTTTAACTTTAAACATACACCGTTAAAGCCAACAGCACCAACCGAGTTCTGAACCTACTCCTGGACCAATGAGTGCTGGCCTGGCCATACAAGAGTTGATTCTAAAAGAAGCAGGGCAGCCGACCATAGCAGCAAACGGAAACAACCAGGCTTCGGGCAGAGCATATTGAAAGGCAATGCTGGGGATGAGCAGGAGACCATGCCTGGAATTCCCAAGGTTTCTTCCTGGAGTCCCAAAAAAACCTATCACGCAACAATCTGAAGGATAGTTGAAAAATATTGCAACAAGGAGCGAAAGAATGGCAGCAGCGGCTGCCAGCGGCAGAGACATCAGCAGCTGATGCCTCACAGCAGCTACAGAACACACGCATGTAGACCCATGACCAAGCCCGCTTGGAAAAACGAGGTGCCAGCCCGTAGAGCACGGCGAGCTGCACGGAAAGAACGGCGCAGGCCGGAGGAATGGCCAAAACAGGACCAACTGTGACCTCACGGCTTGCGGGGCATTAGTTGAGAACTACAATAAAACACTCATCCCGTGTCACTCTGCCGACGACCTCAAGAAAATGATTTGTATTCCAAAGAGAAACTGAGCAGGCAGGCAGAAGGGATCATCACCGCGGCAGCCACGGCCAAACCACAAAGGGAGGCCGCTGCATCACGCAAACTGAGTGCACGAAGTTCCTGCAACTTCACATTCCATCAAGTAGCACCAGGAGACTGTTGCCTCGTCTTGGCTGTTTTCCGGCAGCTTACACGTGCAAGCCACAAGATGACGCCCGACCCACCTCCATGGCAAAAGCATCTCCTGCACGAGGTTCCCAAAGGCGCACCTGGCAGAGCAAACTGGCAATCCACTTTGCCTTGCAGCCACAAAGCACGTACTCCATCGAGGCCTGAAAGCAGCATAGAAGAACCACTACGATGCCAGCACAGCTTGCCTCTCTCGTAACACGTAACAAGCAAAAGGGCGCACACCGTCGCACACTCCAACATTCACAGACAAAGCCATGCCATGCCTTTCCCCCTCGCAATTTGCCGCTGGACCGAAACATTTCTGCTAACCCCGAAGAAGAATTGTGTGCTGATGCACTTAAAACTCGTCACGGCTAGCACTTTCTCGTCTTGGCACGTGCACAATACTGACCAAACATTACAGGCTAGTTGCGCGCTAATGTCGCAAGCCGAACTTGATGATACAGATTGTAGTGGGGTTTCGTTGTCCGATCGAGCCAATGCCAACGAAACCTATGACGAGATGGACTGTCTTCATTCGTGCTGAAGACTAGAGGGTTCGTCATCCTCCTTTCACATTGGGAAAGATTGAAGCTTCATTTCCCAGTTCCCTCTGTGAACAGCTAACAGAACACTTCATGTCTTCCGGAAAAACAAAGGTGCGAAAGGAGCTCTCTTCCGGGTGAAGGATCAAAAAAAAATAAATAAGCATCTAAAAAGAAATAACCCCAAGGGATCAAAAAAAAAATAAATAAGCAAAATAACCCATTTTCCTCTTGGAATACAGCGGGGGGGGGGGTTGGGGGGGGGTGGGGTTGGGGGGGGGGGGGTTTGGGGGGGGGGTTGGGGGGGGGGTGGGGGGGGGGGGGGGGTTGGGGGGGGGTGTTGGGGGGGGGGGGGGGGATTGGGGGGCGGGGGGGCCCCCCCCCAAACACAATGCTCGCACGATGGGTAGTAGTGGGTGGTGGTAGTGGTTGGAAAACCTTCTATTTTCTCGATCTTTTAAAAGGAAAACCAAACCTCTATTTTCTTCACGTTTTCATAGGAAACCTCTATCATCACTATGTTTCCATCGGAAAACCTCTATTTGCATGTATTTTAAGAAAAACTTAAACTTTTTAGTATCCCAATGGCTTCAACAAGATTCATAAAGCACGCTTTGCAGTGGCACAGCTTGATAAAAACGCGGCGGGGCTGGGGTTGGCGCACCCCCCCCCCCACACCCCCCCACTTGGCTTTGCAGCACACTTTGCACAGCTTAAAAAAAACAGCGGGGGGGTTGGGGGGCGCAGCCCCCCCCCCCATTTGCAAACAATGTTCGATGCGTAGAAGTGGTGGTAGTGGTTGGAAAACCTTCTAGTTTCTCGATCTTTCAATGGGTAAACCTCTATTTCTTCATACTCCCACAAGAAAACGTCTACTGTCTTCATGTTTTCATGAGAAATCCTCTATTATCTCTATGTTTCCATCGGAAAAACTCTACTTCTACATGTTTTAAGCAAAAAACTTCCATTTTCTTTGCATTCCAATGGCTTCAAAGAACAAGATATAATACATACTACATAATATATAAAATATACTATATACTGAATAATACATAATGAATTAATTAATAATAAATAATATTACATATTTTATATATTGTAGATTATGTATACAGTATATATTATATAATATATACTTTATATTATGCATTATATGCAGAATGTAATATGCAATATACAATATATGATATGCAATATATGACATATAATATACAATATGCGATATATAAATATATATATATATATATATTTTTATTTATATTTATTTAATTATTCATATTTATATTTACTTATTTATTATACATAAAAATATCATATAATGTACGACAATATGAAAATAAATATAAAATAAATGATATATATATATATAAATGTGTATATATATATAAGTAAAAGTGTACATGGATATGCACATGATATAATGTTTAATATATATATATATATATATATATATGTTATATAGTATACAAATAATATAAATATATACATATATATCTAATATATAATAAATTATATAATATAATATATAATATATATATATAATATATAATATATAATATATATAATATATAAGACAAAATAATACATAATACATACGACATAATAAATATGTAAAGAATAATACATAACAATAATACAAAATATAGAATACATAATTAATACATAATACATAATACAAAATACATAATACATAATACAGAATACGTAATACATAATACATAATACATAATATATAATATATAATATATAATATATAATATAAAATAAATAACATATAATATATAATATATAATATATAATATATAATATATAATATATAATATATAATATATAATGTATAATGTAGAATGTATAATGTATAGTATATAATAGGTAATGTGTAATGTAATGTGTATTATGCAATATGTATATATATATATGCACATACATACATACATATATATATATATATATACACACACGTTGACCTTCACTATCGTGTGTATATAATATATTTTATATTTATTGATTTTTACTTATTTGTCTAATTTAGTTATTTATTTATACGCATAGGATTCTGATTACACGTTGGACAAATGTCGTCAAATGTAAACGCGTATGTTGCTTTTCCTTAGTTTTTCCTCGGGAACCTTGGCACGGCTTAAAAGAAGCCTGGGGGATTGGAGAGGGCGCAGCCTCCCCCCCCGTTTGCAAACACCCTGCTTACATAATGGGTGTCACAAGTTTCTTGGCCTTTGAAGCAGCTCCACTAAAAAAAGAACGGAAGGGTTGCGGGGGGCAGCCCCCCCCATTTGCAAACACAATGCTCACACGATGTTTTTCAACTAATTAGTTTCTTAAGCACGCTTGGTAAGGCTTACAAGAAGCGGGGGGGTTGAGGGGTCTGCGCCCCCCACTTGCAAACACCCTACTTACATGAAGGGAGTCAACAACTTGAAAACATGGGGTTTTCGGCTTAGCCCCTTGCCACACGCACTCGAGATGGGAGGCGTCGGGTACTCGCAGGCCGAAGCCGCTTCCCCTAGCCTCCCGCTACAAGACATGGGGTTCTTGGCCAAGCCCGTGCCACAACAAAAAAACATATTCAAGCCAAAAACATGCTACTGTACGTGATTGCGTCGTAAAAAGTCTCCACTCCTCTGATTTTCGAACAATGAAAAACAAAAACAAAACAAGATTTCAAGAGGGTGGAATTTAAACTAAAATCCCTTCTCTCTTCGATTTTTCGAATAATGAAATACAAAAAACAAAAAAGATTCGGAGGTGGAATTTAGAATGCGTTCCCTTCCCTACAACAAGTAAATGGGGAGGGCTGCGCCCCTCCCAACCCCCCCGCTCTTTACTTCCAAAAAGTCTCCACTCCTCTGATTCTCGAACAATGAAAGACAAAAAACAAAACAAGATTCGAGGGGGGTGGAATTTAAACTAAATAAATTCTCTCTCTCTTCTCCTCTGATTTTTTCGAAAAACAAAATACAAAAAACAGAAAAGTTCGAGTAGGACGACAAGAAGCAAGGGGGCATGGATTTTAGAACAATTTTTTTCCTTGCTTCTACGGGATGTTCTCTGTCCTTCTCCTACCGTTGAAAAATGAAAGATTCAAAGGGGTTTTAAGAGATCTGAAGAAGGCTTGAAGGATCAACCAAAAATGAAACAAAAGGGTTCCCCTTGAAGCCCCCTTAAAGCCCCTTGAAGCCCCCTTGAAGCCCCCCTTCAACCCCCTTTGAAGCCCCCCCTTGAAGCCCCCTTGAAGATCCCCCTTGAAGCCCTCTTCGACGAAGGTCGAAGCCCCCTTCGGCCTCCTTCAAGGGGCACCCTTCAAGGGGACCCTTGAAGCCCCCTTAAAGCCCCCCTTGAAGCCTCCCTTGAAGACCCCCTTCGCTGAATCGGGGAGGGCCCATTTAGCGATCGCGTGACGTGGTGTTAATTTGAGTTATGTTTGTTGAACAAATTAATCTTGCTGAACTTAAAACCCAAAATTATCCATTGCCTAACATCCTAAGTTATCCGCTGTCAGGTCTATGAGCTTGCGGGTGAAGACGCGCAAATCGACATCGATGTGCCAGGACGCCATCTTCAAGATCCTGTGTATCCTAACAACTGGATAGCATGAAAAAGCCTGCAGAAATGTGGGCTTTCTACAAATCTGCATGATCATCTTTGGTGCGAAGGCAACTTCCGTGTCATCTTCGATGCTAAAGCACCTGGAATTTGCTATAAATAAGTTTGCTGCGCAGTACTCCAAAACAACGAATCCCGCAGCCCTTTCCGCAAGACTACCGGATGCATGGACGCCGCAACCAATCCCTCAGCCTGGACATGCTGCACAGGTGATGATAGACAGCGATTCTGCCTGTTTCTCCCACCCGTGCAGCGTATTCACTCTCTTTGCAACATTGGAATGCGCTTAGTGCAATTGCCACGCCCCCTAGCTAGTCTTGCCGCCAGGTGTCCACATGCACGGCTCAAGTGTGGAAAAGTTGCTGCTTCATGTTGGAGGAGCTGCCCCCTCCCCCCCCAACCCTCCCCCAACCCCCCTCTCCCCGCTTTTTTTAAGCCGTACCAAGCGTGCTTCAAAGAAGGTCAAGAGACTAATTTGTTCAAAACATCGTGTGAGCATTGTGTTTGCAAATGAGGGGGGCTGTGCCCCCCCCCCCCCAACCCGCTTCTTTTTAGGCCGTGCAGAGCGTGCTTCAAAGCCCAGAAACTAGAGGCCAGGGAGGCTGCAAGGGGGAGGGGGATCAGAGGAAGCTGCAAAGGGAGGTTTCAAGGGGGGCTTGAAAGGGGGGTTTGAGACGCGGGCGCAAACGGCGCGAAGAAGGCCCAGGTACTAGGCCTCTTAAACTGCTCCCGGAAACCCGTACAGGGAGCAGTTTAAGAGGCCTCATAACTGGGCCTGCTTCGCAGAGGTTTCAGGAAGCAGTTTAAGAAGCCGAATAACTGGGTCTTCTTTGCGAGGTTCCAAGGAGCAGTTTAAGAGGCCTAATAACTAGGCCTGCTTCGCAGGGGTTTCAGGGAGCAGTTTAAGAGGCCTAATAACTGGGCCTTCTTCGCGAAGTTCCAGGGAGCAGTTCAAGAGGCCTAATAACTGGGCCTGCTTTGCAGGGCCT